CCAAACAAGGACATTTCAGCAAGCCACGGCAGCCCCTTCTATACCCGTGGCTGTGGGGAGAGGTGAAACAGAGCCCAAAACTGGCAGGGGAGATCTGGTGGTAGGAGAAGCAGCAGAGAGACCACAAAGCTACATCCTACCTGTACCACAATCTAAGCCGGTGATGGAGCCATTCAAAGAGCCACACAGGAAAATCCTCCCAGCACAACATGATGCTGTACCCTTGATGGGGCAGAGAGCTCAACTCCAGCACAGATCCATTCAGAATCTAAAAATAGACACCACCCCCCTCCCCGGGGTGTCACTTGAGATCCGAGTGTGATGGGTTCAGAGAGGGCAGGCCCATATATAGAAGCTGGTGGGAAAGATATGAGGGTGCCAGGCAATGCCTTTTTGTCCCACAGCCTCTGGGGTCTCTGGGACCACTCCTGGTAGCCACTGCTTGCTTCTGCCCTCTGCCTGGGGTTGCTCTGTGGGATGGCCAGCAGAGAAGGGACCCAGGCCCCAGAGCTCATGACCTTTAGCACAGGGTGGAGCATCACATCTGGATGGCAATGACTTCTTTTTTCAACATACCCCCCTCTTTACCTCAGTCTATAGGTTACCCATTTCTAAAGTGACAAAAACATGCCTTAGGGGCATCGTTTGCCTATTGATAGCACTCCGAGGGCACTTATTGCCAGCCTACTGCAGATTTACATCAAAAGATCACAGTCAGCACTGTGGTTTTGTGACAAACCTTGCGTGGTGCATGGAAACCGTCCCACACCACTCAGGAGCATCTGGTGTGGGTGGCAGAGGGAGCCTTGGGTTGGAGACTCAGGGTGAGCCTGACATGAGGGAGTTACAGGGGAAGCAACCGGCCAAGGGTGGCCCGGTGGGTCAGCAACCAGAGCCAGAAATAGCCCTCAGCTCCTGCGAGTCCTGGAGTCTGCCTCCCACTGCATGCCCTCCCCTCTCCCGGGGGGCCAGAAATAGATGCCCTGAAGTAGCTGCCTGCAGCACAATGTCTGTGAGCCTGAGCCTGAGCCTGAGCCTGAATCCAAGCCTGAGCCTGAGCCCAGCACCAAGCCCTGCTGCCCCAAAGAGGTCAGAACTGCCCCAAGGCTCCGGCCACCCCTTCGCTCACCAGGCTGTTGTAGACCCCAAACTGGAGATGGCTGCAGGAGCCCAGAGGAACCCACATGCTCTGCATCCACCTCAAGGGTCGTCGGTGGGGCTGGGGTGTTGGCCATGCCCCACTTTACGCTTCAAGGAGCCGGAGGCCAGCACCCAGCTCCTGCCCCACAAACTGGAGGGCAGCCAGGCCTCTTGCCCTGCCCTGCCAGCGCCGGTCATCCTGCGGGAAGGAAGCTCCCCGTCGTGGCTGCCTTCCCGCACTGCATTGCCAAGGAGCGAGCCAGAAGCGTGCAGCCCACCGACAGCTGGAGCTGAAGCGTGCTGCCCCACGCCACGGGTAAATATGGATCAGGACACGCTTCCTTTCTCCGTGCTCCGGGCTGATGCACGAGGGGAGCTTGTCGAGCTGAGAAAATATGGAAGGAAAGAGGTCTGCTGTCTTCCCATCCTATCTCACTTCTGATCTGGCTACACCCTTCTCCCTCTCCCCCTCACACGCGCTTGCAGACGCAGAAGGGAAACCAACTGGCTTCCTTTTCTTGGCTGCAGTTGACTTCCTTCCCTTTGAGTCCGGGAGCCAGGGTTAGTCAGAGAAACCTTTAAACTCTGCCTTGCAAACCGCAGCAGAGAACATAAAAGAGACAGAGGCAGCGAGACGGAACTGGAAGCCAGCAGCGGGCTGGCGGGCGGCGTTATCAGTGTCACATTTAAAACCAACGCTGGAGCGGCCACACACCAAACCCAACAGGAACGGCACACACCCCACCACACGTTCCACCCTGGCCTCAGAGACACAAACAAGTCTCGGTGCAGGAGACATCCAAGTATTTATTTAGCTGTCCAGGGTAAAGCCCACACACCGTCCTTGGGGAAATTACGCATCTGCTAACACTTCCCTGCCTGACTCTGGGAGGGCCATAAAAGCGTAGTGTGGACTTCAAGGGCAAGGCACGGTGCCCCGAGCCACGCAGGCTGCAGAAGGGGCATTATGCCGTTTGTGAAGGACATCCAGCAGTTGCAGCCCGGACAGACCATCTCTGGCTACCTTCTGGCATGTGATGCTTGACCCTATGCCTCTCTGGGATACCTGGCTCCAGCTCTCCAGAGCTGTTTCCAGAGGAGCTGATGCCAGATGCTGGGATGCTGCAGGGCTGCTCCAGCACCTCCGGATGGATGTGACCAGCGGGTACCACTTGCCAAGCCACAGGCAGGAAGGCAGAGGCCTCCCCACCACCTCCCAGCACCTCCAGTATTGACGCTTTGGTATTAAGGACATTATATAAATAACTAATGTCAACGTGTAATTAGAGAAGGGCTTGAAATAAAGCAGCAGATGAGGCCCCTCTCTGCCTGACAACATAGGGCACAGCGTGGGAGAAAGAGCCAGAATCAAGGGCATGGAAAAGGGAGCTGGGCAAGAAAACTGGGCGTGCCATGGAGAGGCACTCCCTTTGGGATAAAGACCCCTTCTGTGGCTTCAGGCTAGACATTTGTTACTCCCGGCATAAAGGGATTTCAACAGACTGGCAGGGGGGGAAAGGAGCTATCAGAGCTGCATAGAATAATATTCTAAGATAAGATTTCCTATCCAGGAAACTCCAATTGGGAAAATTCTGCCTTCACAGAGCTTTTAAAATCAGCATTAAAACATCAGAGTATGGGGGGTTTGGCTGAATTCACTGCCGAGACAACACAGACAATGGAGAGAAATGTAGGTCTGATTACAAACACATCCTCCCTGCCCTGATGTAGACCCATCACATGCTTTGTGTTAGGGGAGGAAGAGACTGATGAATTTGCAGGAAAAGCAATGGGGGAGAAAAAGACATAATGGGAAGAGAAATATGTCCACAGCTTCAGGAGTAAGACTACATTGGCCCTTGCTGCTTCCCACTGCCTGGGACAGACAGCTCTATTTGTGGCCGTTTTCTTATGCCTTCTTTTGCTTTGGCTTGACCATCATCCTTCAGCCTCGGTCAGTGACGCAGCCTGGCCCTGTCTGCCCATCTTGGGCTGATCCTGGGACTCTGGTCTTCTGCTCTCACAGCACCAGCCTTTCCGTCTTGTGATCTCCCCTCTGATCTGATTCATTTCTCCCCTTCCATAAATTCCTGCAAGGTACAAACTGCCATATAGATAGCTCAGTCCCTCATGTCCAGGAGTAGGGAATGCTTTGACCTTGCACCACTAAGAGCCATGAGACCTCCCTTGTGATGGGGAGAGAGCAAACAGGGAATCTAGGTCTACCTCAGAGAACGCCTGGAAGGAAGTTAGTCCATGCTGAGGAAAGGGTTAAGTCTGCTTTGAAACTCAGAGTGCAATGAAGCTGTAACCACCAGTCTGGTTTTGCTGGTTTGGGGGCTAGGAATTATCATCCCCAAACCATAAGAGATCTGCATTGTTTTTGCCTAAACCCTTAAACTGTTTTGGTTTGTGATTTTTTTTTTTTTTCTTTGCCTGAAGCTCACTCCCCAGGCTCTCTTAAAATTCAGGCCCATGCTTCCCGAGCAGCCAGCAGCGGGCTCACTCAAAGGTCAGCCTGAGCTGCCTTGAAACTCAGCCCGCGCTTGCCTGAAACTCTGCCAAGCTCTTCCAAAAGGCTTGTATCCTGGCCTGAGTTTCGGGTTGCTAATCCAAGTCTCGTTGGGTTTCAGGTTTCCCTGCAAGTTTTGGCTTTGCTCTACGCAAGAATAACCTCAGACCACGTCTGTTTTACTGGCTGGACCCTTCCTGCTGGGGCAGGGGTGGCAGCAGGCAGCCACCTCCAATGCCAAGAAAGAGGATGCAGGGCAAACAGGGCGCACAGCTGCCCCAGAGGCACAGGACACAGATGGACTCAATATCCATCACCTCGGACTCATCGTCCCTGAGGTGCAGGTTCTGCATCTCCCCAGCTTTGCCTTTCTCCGGGTGCTGTCAGCCAGAAGAGCCAAGGGGCGGTGGGACCACCATCCCCTGCCCCAGCGCGGCACACAGCCGGAGAGCCCGGCAGGACCAGCTACAGCCGTAGGAGCCGCAGGAGCC